CCCATTTAACTACACATCCTGTTATTGGCAGCTCTCTTGATTTTACCGAAGGACTTCTGAGAACTGCTGTTGGTACTACTTCAGTTCTGCCTCTCTCTGTCCCTTATTTTCCCCAAGTAATATGAATAGCACAAAAAATGGTTTCATTTTTATTTTTCACATGGAATTTAATTGTGAGTATGGGGGGGAAATAACACTGTCAGCACTTAATGGCAATAGTTCAAGAAACATGAAGCATAGTCCTGGCATGATTGTTTTCAGTTCTGAATTACAAACCTTTTTGGATAGTACAGGGGAACGGGTCTTACTGATTTTCCCAATTTTTTGGTGCATATTTATATAGATAGTGGGGGTTTTGTTACTACAGCTATATCTTGGGCATGCAAATTATGTCATTTTTCAAATATAAAATGAAAATGAAGATTTTTAGGATTCTGCAAAAGCCACCAGATTACATATTAGAAAGCAGTGTTCATGATTCATAACATGAACACAGCTGTGCAGAATTCTATATACACTCACATATAGGGCTCAGGGGATGTATGCATAAAATTGCGAGCGCTATTAGTCTTTATTAGATATATTTAAAAAAACAGATTAGGAACTAGATATGTGGTTTGCACTGGCATTTACAGGTTGGCAACTATAGAACACATGGACATTTTGTCCTTTCCTTGTTGCATTTGTGTGGCTTTTGTGCTTGCGATTTAAAATGTTTGCAAAGTCTGCCAGGTACTGAAGCAAAAAACACAGACATAGCTACAATTTTTTTTCATTGATCCTAATGGGCTGCTAATATGAGTGCCTGGTTTCCCACTCTTCTGTTCACGTCAGTTGATAACAAGTCAACAAAACACAGTCTTATATTCAGTTTAAAAACAGCTGGGTGTGATATAACATCAGCTGTAAATCCCCCTAGCAGAGCTTGTCCTAAAATGGACCTTCTACCTCCAGTATGAAGCTGAATTGTCTACTAAGGAAATAAATTGGTGCTCTTCTCTTTTTAAAAACTGTAGCCCTACTACTCGCAGCTGAAAAACAGTTTATTGAAATATACTTATATCACATAGCAAGACTACACATAGATAACATGTCTTTATGTGTAACTTTATCTGACTCATATTTTATTACTGAGACTTTGACAGAGTTTGGATGTCACGATGAACAATGGTTTATCGTGATGAGAACACGTCTAGCCTTCCCTGTGCTCCCTACAACTCCTACCAGGGGGAATACAGAAGTTTTCTTTTCCATTTTTATTTCACCACAGTTTGCTGTGCCATCCAAACTTCACAAGCTGTGGGCAATCTTAAATATGGTTTGTTTGAAACCACCCATCTTGAAACCATGCTTTATGACGCTGTCTTGTTTCAGCGTGCATAAGTTTAACCACAGTTTACAGTGGTACCTCGCAAGACGAATGCCTCGCAAGATGGAAAACTCGCAAGAAGAAAGAGTTTTCCGTTTTTCGAGGTTCTTCGCCAGACGAATTTCCCTATGGGCTTGCTTCGCAAGAAGAAACTGTAATTTACATTACAGTTTAATTTAATTTACATTTGACTGTAATTTACATTACAGTCAAAGTTTATTGTGACATCCAAATTCAGAAACCACACAAAACAGTTTGCTGTTATTCTTATCTATTGAAAGTACAGAGGTTGTTGCCATCTGTACTAACCAATATAGTGGTCATGAATATGATTTGCATCGATTGATCGATGGCTATCCTTCCAAGGGGCTCAGGGTGGCATATGTTACCTTCGCTCCCTCCACATTTATCCTCATAACACTGTGAAGTAGTTTAAACTGAATGATTGTGAATGGCCCAACACTGCCCAGTTAGCTTCCTGGCTGAGTGACGATTTGAGTACCCCTCTCCCTGGACCAAGTCTGGTGTTCTTTCCAAAGCAAGACACTGGCTCTGTTAGAAGGCGTCTCCAATACCTCAAAGCTAACAAAGCACGCAGGATAGTCTCAAACCTCCCTGTAACTAAGCTCAAGTACACATAATTGACACAACAGCACATTCTTCCTCTTCTACTATGCCTCTCTTCCCCTCCTTCCTCTATCTCTGATGTGTCAGATGGTAGACTGTATAGCCTTTGGGGCATAGACCTGTCCTCTTGTACTTCATGCAGCGCCATTGCACATTTGTGGAGCTATATAAATAAAATAACAGCAGCAGCAGCATGAATGTTCTGTATTTTGACATTCTGACCTGCTGTGGGTTTTGTGTATGCAATGGGAGGATTAAAATGTGCGTGAGGGTACACTGTAAAACTATGTGATAGCTCAAACCTACAACAGTCTGTGTCTTATATTTAAGTAGATCACACCAGAATCTGTTGCAGCCCAAGAATCACATGTTGCAGCAACATTTTCCCAACCAATTTTTCTTCTCCACTATTTCAGTGATGGGCTTCCAGTTGCTAGAATTTAATTGCTGGTGGAAATTAACGTACATTGCGGCAAATGATTCTTGTACTGCTATGCAAACTACAAATTAAATTGATTTCCAACTTTGAGATTAACCTATGCACTTGAAAAGTAATAGGTGTAGCATCTTTTTACCTATTTCCAGTGATGGAAAAATTAGGGTAACAGGCATAGAGAAATTTTCAGTTCCATTGAGAAGTTTTCTGATGCCCTAGACCAGACATGTCCAACGCATGGATCGTGTAAAGCAGTGTTCCCCAACCTTGGGCCTCCAGCTGTTTTTGGACTACAACTCCCATCATCCCTCGCTAGCAAGACCAGTGGTCAAGGATGATGGGAATTGTAGTCCAAAAACAGCTGGAGGCCCAAGGTTGGGGAACACTGGTGTAAAGGATTCTGATCAAGCATTACCAAGGCCTCAGGGTGCTTCCGCCCGCCGGCATCTCCCATGGCCACCGGGCGCCCTCAGCGCATGCTCGGCCACAGCCACAACGACTCCACAGGCACTTTCCCCACCTTTCCAGCTCCAGCCTAGCTGCGCTTACTCGAAAGTAAGCCACTGTCCCCCCTTCCCCACGGAGCGCTTCCTCTGGTAAAGAGGGAATTGGACATTTTAGGGCATGTTGGCTTCCTGGGAGGGGGTTGGTGGGTGGGTTAATAATTTGTTATTATTTCAATAATAATAATAATAATAATAATAATAATAATAATAATAATAATAATAATAATATATCCTGTCCATCTGGCTGGGTATCCCCAGCCAAATATAATATTAGAAGTGACTCCAGATGTGGTTCATCTCTACTCCCATCAGCCCCAGCCAGTATGGCCAATGGTCAAGGATGACAGGAACAACAACACCTGGAAGGACCACAGGTTCCCCATCCCTGCCCTATGCGGTCCCTCACATGCTTTTAGGTCAGCTGGAGAGGCTATGCTCATGGCCCCACCTTCACAAGATCCTTAGGAGGCAGTGACAAGAAACAGGGCATTTACCATAGTGGAGAAATGTGGTTGGCCCCCCACAGTGAGTAGTTTTAAGAAACAAGTAAATACATTTTAAAAAAAATAAATCAACAAGCATTTGGTTGAAGAGCTTTTAATTTTCTATTTTGCTGATCAGCTACTCTGCTGGTTGCTCTGTAGCTTATGGAATTTTATTGGCGATTTTATAGTGGTTTTGTTTTGTTTGTGTGTATCATACATGTTGGTTTTTGTATGCTGCTTTGGGGTTCTTTATATTGGAGGAAATGTGTGATATAAGTAAGTAATGAAAACCCTTATAATTCAGCCAGTAAAAATATCAAATTGCTCATTCTCTTGTTCGCCAAAAGCAATTATGAAGTAAGATTTTACACTAATTTGTAACATATTCATATGTGTTGAATATAACCGGGGGGGGGGGGAATTGGGGGTTCCACACCCCTACTTGTAGTTAATGCCTGATAGAGACACATGTATGTCTATTATTATTTTTACATCTTTTTGCTTTTGAGCTTGCAGCTTGCAAAGACAGTCAGCTGAACACACACACACAAAAACAATTTGGGAGAAGAAATGAATGTGGACAAAAAAGTGCACCCTTCAAGATAACTGACATTTCTTCTTTTAAAAAGTCATTTAAGGTTATGGAAATTGTCAGGAGAAAATAATTTCCTTTGCTGAAGAGGTTTCCATGCAGAAGTTGAGTAAAGATATTTCAGAACATGGTTCATCAGTTAATGCAACAGATACATTTCCCTGAGCACCACATGGCCTGGATCAAAGCATCTCATGACTTGGAGCAGTGTGGCCAAATCATTATGTATTGATTGGAATCCTGCTAGAGTTTTAACTCTTCGATGTTTGAAAAGGTGCTTCCCACCCCCACCCACCTTTTTACAAGCTCTGTCTTGGTGGCCTAGGTAGCAGTGCTGCTGTTAATGGCACCCTTCTGTCCCAGTGAAATGACAGAATTCCCTTTTTGCTACGTTTCTTGTTAAAATGAATTTTATAGTTGGGAAACATTCACTGTATGCTAAGAAATATGAACAGACCTTCAAGAAGAGGAGGGGAGCATGCAGGTCTGTTGTGATAGGGTTAAAGATGCCATAACACAGATATGTGTGCTTTTCTTTCTTTTTGTCTTACACAGTATTTTGGAGCACCTATAACCCTCAAAGTTACTTAAGATGCTAGATATAAACTGCAAGGGTATTTAGTCTTCCATCTGCTGTAAATATGCAATTTTCAAACACTTTTTGTATCTAAGACCTAAAGCTACACTGTCAGATGTTCCCAACATTCACTTCCTATGTTTATTTCAGTTCTTAACAAAACTTCTAATTAATTAATCAACCAGACACACATAACCTGCTTGCTGCAATCCCGACACATTTGCGACTCTTCTGTTGTAAAGCTCAAAGGAGGGCTTCCTTGAAACAAAACGGAATTGTGCGTTCCTGAATATTTCATTTTTTTATGTGTTTATACTTACATATTTTGCTTTCAACGCTGCAGCAAGTTAAAGTCATTCAAAGCACCACCTTAATAATGCTTTCCTGCTTTTTTCCCTTCCCCATCAGTTTATCCCACGAAGAACACTCTCATAGCCATCCGCTTTATGGGCACGGAGTATGCAAATGGCCAGGCTGTGAAGCAGTATGCGAAGATTTCCAGTCATTTCTAAAGTAAGAATATTTTATTTTTTTGTATTTCATATATTTCATTAAGCATTAATCTACCTTTGGATGAGCTGAAAACATCTCCTGCTGTCGGTGGCTTCCTGTCAAAGGTGTCTGTTGTAAATACACATGATGTGCAAGTTGTGTTGTCCTCAGTAAAGCCTGGGCAGAAGGACATTTCAGGGTGACTGCCAAAGGACCTCCCTCATCCGGCACAGTCTGAAATCAACAGATTACTGGGTTCAGCTCTCCTGCATGTGCAGATCGCATCCAGTAGTGTTTGGGTTTTTATGACAGTCATTCTGTCACCAAACCTTAGATCCAACACAGAAGCAATAGAGTCTATCCTCCTTATTTAATTGATTTTGTAACTGCTTTTATTGAATACAGACTGGCAAAACTACATGCATCGTTAATTGTGTCACATAAGTATCTAATAAGCAAAGTCAACACTACTTAAATTAAATTCTAATTATATTAATTGAGCCCCTGTAGTTTGACACAGGCTTCTCCTCACTACCAAAAAACAAAAACAAAAGTGTTAAATGCGGTATAAAAGTTACCTTACTGACAAGTTGGTACGGTACCTGCAGGCATTCCATTTTTGTAAATTGTAGTCTGTTTTTGTATTTACCACTGTCATTTTGGAAACTACCACTGACAAAGGTGCTCTTTCTAACTTCCACATTTCACATGTTTGCTAGTCGATCTGTCTTGTGTTGCCCGTTTATACAACTGTCCGCTTTTCCGCGCATCCTCCAGCCTCCAGCTGGCCCCAGAGCTTCGATTCTAGTTGTGGATATTTTTGGATACAGTATTTTTGGTCTGGATTGGAGAGAGAGCAGCAGAGAGGGCATTTACAGAGTGTTTAGAGGATGCTCCCCACTTAACGTGGTTGTCGCTTATGCGCTTGGGGGCCTGGTACCTAACCCCCTGCCTAAGTGGGGGGAGGCCTGTAGTCAGTTCTATGCCATATTGTCTGTGACCCTCATAGCCTTTCATAACTTAACTCTGTTAACATTGCTTATGCGATAATTTCATGGGCACAAAGCATTTTTCAAAAGGGGCAAATCTTTTATAATGCCCTCAATTCTCCTAGATAAGAAAATAAATTGGGAGTCTTGTTTTTGTTTTATGCATTCTGAGAAATGAATATAATAAAGGCTGGAAAAGAAAAAAGAAAAAAAGAAAAAACCAAGGGTGGTTTTTTACACACACCCACACACACCCCACCTGTAATCATTTTGTAGTGTTTGTTCCTAAGGTAAGGAACACTACAAGGCCTTTGATTTTAAAGATAAATTCTGTTCAAATAACAATCCTAGTTGTCTTTCACTCACAGCTAACAGGAGGATGCTTATCAGTATCAGCAGATACATAAGCTATTGTACACATTCATTTCCCTGTTTCTTTTCAAAATAAGTTGCAGTTTTACACAAGGGCTTTCTGTGTTTTCTCTTCCCTCCACCCCTTGAGGCAGTCAGCCACTGGTTGTCATGCAATTGTACCATCAGTTAGAGCTAACTGCTACCAGCAGGTGCTTCTGCTAAATCTAATGAAACCAACACACCCTGCATTGCCTCGAATACAGAAAAACAAAAACAAGTCCACTTTTTACTGCTGTGACAGAATGGTCTCATTCTCTGCAGCAAGAAAACAAAAATGCAGGCAGATTTTGTATGCTCTGCCTCAAATATCTAATGCTGTATAATATGGGAGGCAGTAGCAGGGCCACTGGGCTTCTTTTCTTCTTTTATAGATAAATGCCATTCTTGGGCACACAGGTAGTTCTTTGAAATTAAAGTACATGAGGGCTGATGGGGTGTGCACCTTCTTGGCACCCATGTAGTAATTTGATATGCAATAAGCACTCCCAATAGTCACTGCATAATTCAAACCTAGGGGTAGTAGGGTAAACACATGCAGTTTGGGATCCGTGCAATCTAGATGCTTTAGAGCAGGGGTCAGCAAACTTTTTCAGCAACGGGCCAGTCCACTGTCCCTCAGACCTTGTGGGGGGGATGGACTATTTTTTTTGGGGGGGGGAAGGATGAACGAATTCCTATGCCCCACAAATAACCCAGAGATGCATTTTAAAAAAGAGCACACATTCTACTCATGTAAAAACACCAGGCAGGCCCCACAAATAACCCAGAGATGCATTTTAAAGAAAAGGACACATTCTACTCATGTAAAAACACGCTGATTCCCGGAACTTCCGCAGGCCGGATTTAGAAGGCGATTGGGCCGGATCTGGCCCCCGGGCCTTAATTTACCTACCCATGCTTTAGAGCAGGGCTCTAAAAGAGGGCAGTCCAACGTGCAGCCTCATGTGTCCCTCAAGGCTTTTTTTGGTGGCCCTCAGCAACATTTGACAACCCCCTGCCACCAGTGAGATGCTGGGTTTGGAGAAGGAGATGTGAGAGCTCTGACAGCATCCTAGAGTCCTCCAGCCTACTTCTCAAACCCCAGTGCCTCACTTAGCTGGCTTTAGGAAGGCAGCACAAGGGCTGGGGAGGGGGTGTCTAATTTTGGGCTTGCTGCCCTCCTATACAGCAAGGCAGTGAGCAGCCTACAGGTTCCATGTCAAAGTACTCTTGCAGTACCGCCCTGCTCTAGAACAACCTTCATCAACCTGATACCCCTTGCGGTGTTTGGGGCTATCACTCTCATCAGCCACAGTGGCTAATAATCAGGGATAGTGGGAGTTGTAGTCAAAACCTCTAGAAAACACCAGATTAGGGAAAGCTGCTCTAGAAAGTGCATGGCTGAATCTACTGTTAGTTTAGGATATCCCAGTAAAATGGATTAATTTTTTTAGGGACAGCCACCCCCACCCCCCCCCCCGGGCGGATGAGGGAAGGATTCCAAACCCAAGATCCATTGCAGTGACTGAGGATTCAGCAGATTTCTTGCTAAACCCAGCAGATTCCCAGCATAGCTCCCTCATCTGGGTTTAGCTGGGGCTCAGATGGTTGAGCTGAGACAGATGGATCTTATGCTGGCATAAACCACAAAAGAGTGGATGTTCTGGAGGCCGTGAGGGATGTGTCTGAGCAGGGGAACTTCCTTTGGTTCATAACTCAGTTCAGCTTGGTCACGTGACTTGGCAACTCAGCAGAACTTCAGCCAGCAAAATGAATAAGTCAAACTCTGTTTTAGAGTCTTGTTTTCCCTTTGCTAGGCTTACGTATAGATCTACCCCCAAGCAAAGTATGGAACAGGGGTGATTTATGCTGGCTTAATTTAAGCTAAATTGCTCCTTAGAACCCTATGTGGGTCACTGCCATATGGGCATACTATGCAGGAGGTTCTTGAGTACCTTTAAAAAAAATTGTAGTACTTTAGTTAGGTTTTCATTATTTCCAAACTCTACACCCGTATTTTCTCAAAAACACATAGCTTGCCTGTTTTGAGAACGTTGTAGTGTTCACAGTTCCAGCACAATGCTGAACCATGATTTGCTGTTATATCTGAACCCTACAGCAGCTTTCCAGAACTGGTTTTTAAGGACTGCCAAAGGGAGGCTATTAAACCATGGTTTGACATTGGTTTCCAAATCATAGCTTGCACCAAGGCTATTATGACACTGTTATGTTTAAATTCACATACCATTTACAAACCACATGACTGAATTAAAGGGGGGGCAGTTGAAAATGAAGCATAATTTAACTCCTTTCTGGTTGTTGTTGGGTTGCCGACTTTGTTTTCCAGTTGTATGCCTCTCCTGCAAAGCACAGATGGGCAGGCTTTCGTGGTACAATTTTGCTCCAGGTACTCCATTATGGAGCCTAGAGAACACCCATAGGAGAATGTGATCTAGCAGTGTGTGCTTGCTGAGAGCTCTTCCCAGGAGAATGCAGAGAAGAAGCATGTGAACAGTATGCACATTTATTATGGGGAAAGGGGGACAAAATGTTTTTGTTTTTGGAAGTTTCCCTCCTGGGAAAGGAAGATGTTGTTAGTGACCTGAACAGAGCAAAGATGGGCAACTAAGTTTGGGAAACCTTTGTTTCTACCCTGTAGTGACTATATGCCCATTTAACTTTAAGGGGAAACTCTTTTCATAATATTGACAAACACTGTTTCAACATATTTTCAGTAGGGACTACCAAAAATGGTACTTCAAAACCCCAGTGGGGTTTTATCCAATATTATTTACATCTCTCTCTCTCTCTTCCTCTAAACCAAATTATTATTTTGCAAGAGTAAATAACTTTTGACACAGTAGCCTGCATAGTATTCATGTGCATGTGTGTGTGCTTGTGGTTTTGGAGTGCTTGTAGGAGCAGTAGTAACACATTAGAATATATATTTAAAACGGAGGTTTTTGTCATTTGTAAATGGAGGCTTGCTGGTAATCTGCATCATGTGAATTTTAGTTTTAATAAAACTGAGGAGGGCTTGTGTGAAAGAAACTCTCTCGGCACACTCTGCAATGTTTTCACAAGTGTTTTTATCATGGCAACATCTTGTTTACTTTAGTTGCTTGCCTAAAACTACTTGGAACATGTTAAGAAAACATTTCAGGAAAGCTTCTAAAAGAGGCTTTTGTTTAGCAGCCACTGTGAGGCTGCTCAGCTCACAAAGGTGTTAACTTTCAACCCCTTAAGCACTTCCACATGAAATTCCAGCAACTATGCTTGTGGTTTTTGGGAAGAAAAAGTGCACATTAAAGAGATCAGGTATATGCTAATACACGTTGAAGGAAGGCCGGAAATCATAAATTGTTTCAAATGCATTAATTGCTATTATTTGCGTGTCAGAAAGTTTTAGAGCTGAAGTTACCTCCAGAGTTAACAAAACAGAGACTTCTGGTAAAATTGGTGCAATGTTAGAAGAGGAGTGTGTAGGGGGAGGAAAGCCTACATATATCGAAGCCTGTATATATACCAAGGATATGTATGGTCTTAAAATTCAAACACATGGCCCTGGCAGTTCACTTCTTCAAACATACATAAAATAGGTGGCTGGCTAAAGGTTTTCCATGCTGTTAATCTCCTGTA